CACACTTGGCCAATAAAGAATTCTATTCTATTCTATTCTATTCTATTCTATTCTATTCTATGATGTATAATAGAACTTTCAGCATGTAAAATCACATTATTCCAAGCGTGGGTTGCTGCCGGTTTTACTACCGGTTTTCAATCGGCACACTGTGCGCGCTTGCACTGTTCAATGTAAATTGTTCTTTGATTGATCAGACAGCTGAAGAGAGGCAGCCAGAAAGCAGTTTTGAATTTCCCTCCAATTTGGTCAGAAGAAAAAATTCAATTAAAAAAGCCAATTCAAAGGGAAAGAATTTGTAAAAAAATCGCCAATTAAAATTATAAGGTTAAAATTTGGAGGAGAGATCAATTCCAACACAGCTAGTGCTGGTTGGACTGAGTCTGAACTGGGGAGGAGCCACAAGGGCCCGATGACATCGTAAGTGTAGACTCAGTCCAATTGGTTACTGGATGGACCAAACCCAGTCTGGCTGCTGTCTCCACAGGAGAACTTTATATTACAATCCCCCTTTAAATTAGAAGCCTACCATAACTCAGAGTACTCATGTACATAGTGTGTTGGGTCATAAAAAATATTACATTTTTTTCTCATGGGGCTGCATATGAAAAATTAGAGCAGTTATTGAGTGCTCTTAGTAATGGGGGTTGTCTTCTTGCTGTTGATTGAAGCAGTGGTGGGTTGCACGCGGTACGCCCTGGTACAGGCGTACCAGAGCCTGCCCAGAGCACTGGATACTGTTCCGGCCCACCCGCCTGAGCTCCTTACCTGTCTTTTAAGGCTTCTACGCTTCTGCATATGGCACGTACAGCGCCTGCATGATGCTCCGCTGAACAGCTGGAGCGTTGCGGAGGCGGTAAGATGCATGCACGCACTGCGCACATCCATGTGGCCACCGCCGGGCCCGTTTCAACTGTACCGGTTGGAATGGGATCCGGAACCCACCACTGGATTGAAGGCAGAGATATGCTTGATGTTAGATGATTTGTTTTCCATTTAATAAAACCAAACTATTTGGTTAACGTTTTTAGGTGAATTACTGGAATTCTAATGTCAATGAAGTTCAAGGTGTTGTCATGGATCAAGAAGGAAAAGTGGTGCATCGCCTTTTTGGAAAATGGCATGAAGGATTATATTGTGGAATTGCACCTTCAGCAAAATGTATATGGAGGCCCGGTAATACATGGCATTTATGTAATTTTAAATATAATTAAACAAGTAATAAAGAAAGGAGTAGAATTTGTACTATAGATGTAGGGATTTTATCTCAGTATACTAGATACGATAGCTTGGAACATGAATTGTAGGTTAGAAACTGTAAGTGTAAGTCATTGCTGTCCTTTAATAACTCTATCTTTCCATGATGAAATCTAAATCAAACTCCATAATATGTTCTAAGACCAAGCAGGAATAATGCAAAAATGCTATAAGTTGTTAAATGGCACGTTTGAATGAAGAGAGATGTAATATGTTGAGCATGGTGGCAAATGTTTAATGCCACTGTTGCCATTAAAATGAATGCATTTTTCAGTATTATACACATTTTTGATATTCATCAAGCTAAACAGAAAAAAAGCAGTAGTTCCTTTGAAAAAGGAAAAAATCACTTACTCAATTGGATTTATTGGTTAGGACAAAATTACAATCAGTTTTTCCCCATATTGGAATGATAAATTTTGTGAAATTGAATGTTAAAAAAATGAAGAACATTGGAAGAAAAAGTAGAAATAATATAGTGGGTTTCATGCAGTATTTCTATTGATGGAAAAAAATGGGATTCTTTGATTAAGGATACAAGTTGTACCTCCTGAACGAAATCTTGTGTTTTTCTAACTTTCCAAAATTAGTAGCTACAGGGAGGTAAAGTTTTTCTAACTTTCCAAAATTGGTATCTATGAGGCAGTTCCTAGTTCTCCTATAATTTATATGATGGTTTTGTGATTTAACAAAAGTGATATGAGAACTGTTTGAGAATTTGAATTATCAGCTGCCAGGTTGTTGGAGGCAACAGAAGGCCACACCAAAGGATATTTAGAACTTCCTTTCTCTAAAATTAGCTCACCCTGTATGCTCATCCCAAGCCAGGATCCTGAGAGTTCCCAAATATTGATTTATTAAATTGATATGCTGTCCATCTCACTTAGATTCATATATTAAGTAAGAGAACAGGGACTCGAAGCAGTGTTTTTCACCAGATTGCATTGTTGGGATCTTTTCAGAAAACTGCCAAAGCCGACAGTTTTCCTAAGGCCTTTAAACTGTCCTTGCTTCATAACGTTACATTCTGGTTTTATCTACTTGTACACGCCTATGATTCAGCCTGATTCAGTAATATAAAAATATAAGTTAAATAAAAAATAAAATAACAGAGTTGGGAGGGAACTTGGAGGTCCTCCAGTCCAATCCCCTAACCAGGAGGAGACCGTATAACATTTCACGCAAATAGTTGTCTAGTCTCTTCTTAAAAACCTCCAATGTTGGAGCACCCACAATTTTTGGAGGCAAGCCATTCCTCTGGTTAATTGTTCTCACTGTCAGGAAATTTCTCCTTAGTTCTAGGTTGGTTCTCTCCTTGATTAGTTTCTACCCATTGCTTCTTGGGTTTCCATCCATTGCTTTTTGTGCATAAAGCATAATATGAATGCCCATGCTGTGATGTAGAAAGCCAACATTCAGTATTGTCTATAAGAGCACTGAAGCCTTAAGTATCCACCTTCTCTGGAATCCTTCGGGATGATCTTTCTTCCTAAAGGAATTACTTTCCCTTTGTACAGAGAAGCATGAAGTGATTGTGTCAGACCATTTCATGCCTTTTGGGGTAAGAGGGATTTTGTGGGAGAGCACATGGGGGTCCTAGCCAAGCAGAGCATATCTTGACAACAACATGAGCAATACACCATCTCCCATATCATCTCAATAATATGTAGAATAATGTCTGCACATAAAACCATTTATTTAAAGAGTTTTGAGAATTGGCAGGGCTGCATATCGAGTTTTTAATGAAGATCAAGGTACAAACATTTTCTTTTATCATCTAGATCAAGTGTTTATTCACAGTGGTTAATCACTACCTTTATTTTAATTTTTAATATAGGTTCCATGCCAACAAATTATGAGCATTACTATGGTTTCACAAGGTTTGCTGTTGAGCTGAATGAGTTAGATCCTGCATTGAAGGACCTTCTTCCAAAAACAGATGCTCGATTCAGGCCAGATCAAAGGCAAGAAGTACACTTTAAAAAATGGCTACGGCTGCTTTTGATTGAATATTATAAGGGACATTAATGTTAAAAAATTCATCTGAATCATTGCTGCTCAGTGAAAGCTTGCTCCAGACAATTTGAGAAGTATTTAAACTATTTTAATATGTGAACTTGTAAAAGTGCAGCAGACAGGGTTCGCCTTCCTATTTACTTCCCCATCTCACCTCATAAATACTTTTTGTAATATACTATCTGCACTAATATACAACTGCATATTGCAGAAACAAGGGAGGCGGACTGTTTGTCCAAAATAATAGAATTTAATCATATATATTTATGCTGATTCATTCAGAATATATTTAGTTGAATGATAGTGCTATCAGTTTTATCTAACCTGCATAATATAGAACATGATTTAGGTCAGGGTTCCAAATAACATCCCCAACGAAAGAAGACTCTGAGGCTTGAGTTTCCTCAAAGTTCCATTTTATTAGAGTTGCCATATTGGGCACATCTAGGAAAACCCGAATCTGAAAGTTTCCAGGATTTCCCCACCCAAATTAAAATTCAAGTCCGTGCCCAGCACCCACATATACGTCACATAATCCAATCAGGCACCATCCAAAACTGGAGATGCCTCCCAGTCACCTGGGAGGTCACAGGTCAGGGGCAAGGTGACCTTGACTCTGAGAACAAAATGTTGTGATGGCTACATATCACCCACACTCTGTATAATTGCCCCTCCCATTTTCCCACAGTAGAAAATGTGGCAGGTCTGAAGGCCCAATGTAAAAGATGACTTCCAGGTCTGACGGGTGCTTCTTGAACTTTGAGATTTCTGAATTTTGTAGTTACGTTTTTTAAAGGTTGGTATGTATCTACTGAAAGACTAATTCTTAACTATAGGCATTTGGAAGATGGACATTTAGAAGCAGCAGCAGCCGAAAAACAAAGAATTGAAGAACTCCAGAGATGCCGGAGACGTTATTTAGAGGAAAACAATATGGAACATATACCTAAATTTTTTAAGTAAGTACTCACTCTCTCTGTGTGATTTTTGTACAAACAGACTGAGGTTGGTATATATATAATGGTGTAACGATATTAACAAAAATAATAATAATGTTTTTAGCATTAGAAATTGTCTTACATTATGTAACATCTGCATGTTCCTTATTGTACAATTAAATTATTTTCAGAAATGTGTCAAAACATAGGTTGGTTGTAGCATAGAGTCTTATTCCTCAGATAAATTTGAATCAAAGATGATGATTTTTGTGAATCTTGACTTAGATAATGAGAAATCAGTTTTATTTGTAATATGTAGTTATTATTATTTTTGAAATTCAGAGATCTAACATTAATGTTTGATCTTCAGATTGGTGTTTTATGCATGCGCTATCTTTCATAAAATTTCCCCTAGCTAGATAAAGAGAATTGTCCAAGAAATTAAGTGTATGTGCAGTTCCTCTCTTTTATGTAACCTTGTAAACTTAGAAAAACAAAAATCTGCCAAGTACCTAAGAGTAAAATTCAATCTCTTTTCTCCTTCTCTGCCAAATAATTATTTTATTTATAGTCTAATCCCTCTTCGGATGGAGTAATTCCTTCTGTGTATACAACAATATGAAGTGGTGTTCCCAGACTGAAGCAGGTATAAAAGACAAAATTTGTAAATTAGAGGAAGCAGATTAAAGAATTATGCATTTCCAGATAGAGCTGAAGTCTTATAATGAGAGTTGATTCCAAGACTCTCTTAAAGCCTATTTCTTCTTTGCCTATATATATGCCTGTTATTATAGGCATATAATAATATAATGTTTGTATTTCCTCTTGAAGAGCAGCAGAGCAGCAACTCATCATGGGTTCAATAACAAAGAGGATCATTTTTATATTCTTTAAATCAGGAAATCAGTTGTTCTTGGCTGGATGGCATTTGTTAACAAATCAGGGTTGGTTAGAAGAGTGCTAATTCCTATTATCACCAAATGGAGAAATAGAGAAATTGGCTGAAGAAACTGAATTAGTTGAGTGTAAGATTCTCCCCACCTTCCTGTGAGGCTCTGAGTTAGGGGTGGGATTCAGCTTGTTCGGACCTGTTCGGGCGAACCAAATTCTAATTTTACATCTGGTTCATCGAACTGGTAGTTGGAAGGACTGGCTGGCCCCTCCCAGGAGTCTCCAGGCAGCCTGTTCATCATGCCAGGTAAGTGCAGGGCCCACGCGGAGGCTCTGGGAGGGTGAAAAATGGGCCTCCCATAAGTCCAGAAACAGGCCTGTTTCCGGCCTCTGGAGGGCTTCTGAAGGCCAGAGGGGGCGTTTTTGCCCTCGCAGAGGCTCAAGAAATGCCTCTGGAGCCTGGGGTTGGCAAATACCCTCCCCCCCGCCGTGGTGCAGGATGCCGAGTAGGCTATGCCCACGCGGCAACCGAGCAGAGAAACAGTTGCTAAAATGTTTCAATCCCACCCCTGCTCTGAGATTATAAAACTGAGATTATAAAACATCTGAAATTGAATAAAGCTCCAGTATATGAGTTCATTTTAGTGGAAGACATTAAAAACAGTTTAGATTGGTGGGTACCCATTTTGGCTTTCCTAGTCACCTACATTGATAAATATGCTAAGGTCTCTGATGGTTGGGGCCTACCTTTGGTGACTTCAATCTACAAAAAAAAAAAAGAAGAAGAAGAGGTTATTGGCATTAGCCAATCAGTAAATTATATGCTAGCACTTGTAACAACAAGCTCCTGGATTGGATTGTAACTGAGAATATATTGGCTGATGAGCAGACAGGCTTCGGAGAAAGCCACTCATTAACTCTCTTACAGACACATTGAATAGCCCATCTCTTGATCTGTCAAAATTGGGAAATAGACACATTTCTTTTATATGCAGATGCTGCTGCACTGTTTACTTAGACATAGATTGTCTAAGGGCCACTGATGATGTTACCTAGTTTGGATAATGAAACAACTGCAAGAAAACAAGAGCTCAGACACAGATTGTCCTGAAATAGGCATGTTATATACTTGGTGGGCACTGTTAAGAAGAACAGCTAGAAATTAATTACTCCAAAATCAAGGTCATGGTTTTTGCTAAGGCACACATGTCTGGCAGCTAAATAAAGGTCTTAAATATCTGGGGATTGTTTTCCATGCTACAGGCAACCATCAATTTCACACCAATTATGTTATCCTAAATACACAGAAATTTGCTTTAGCTTTATACTTTTTCTATTTCTCAAAAGTATCTCTGTATATATCAGCAGTGATTAAAATCTCTTCAGTTCACATCCAAGCTCAGCAACTTTTTGGAGTTTAGTTGGGCCCTTAAAGGGCATTCCTTTGCCTTGAAAGATTTCAAACCAAGTTTTTGATTCTTTTTCAAGTAGCTCATTGTATGCCAAAATGTGTGCTTCACAATAAAGCCGGCCTACTTAAAATGATTGTACATTAGCTGATCTCAAACAATGGGCCATTGATTTAGAGTTGTAGGGTGATTTATCAGTTCTATCTAGAAACAGCTTCTTGAGCCACTCCACATATCTTCTTCAATCAGCCAAATACCTTACTTGCATAATGATTCCCAAATTTAAATTCATCCCTGGCTAAATTTAGTGCCCGCACAATAGCGATTACTGAAGGGACATGCTGAAATATCCCTTTTGAACAGAGATGTGCCTACATGGTGGAGAAATAATTGAAATGCTGGAGCATGATACCCAGACACACACCAAGAATTATTATCTCCATTCTTTACTAAATATCCTATTCATTCTGACTTGTTTTATCTTGTTATTATTAGGTCAATGTGATTTGACATCTTTGACCACAGCTAAGTATCATTCTACAGTTTGTACAGTACACCATAATATCTCTTCTAATCCTTCTTAGATATTTTAAAACAATTATTTCTTTTTCTTTTAATCCTGATTAATTGTGATTTTCTTCTTTTATTTGTTGGTTGTTGATTTATGATTAAATAAAATGTTATTATTTTATTGCAATTTCATTTTTCAGAAGATTTCCTCAACAAGTAAATAAAAATTGAAGTGTGTTTCTATTCTCTTAAAAGAATATTTTTGAATTTATTTTAACCAATAACTCTTTTAATTTTGCAGAAAAGTTATTGAAGGCAATCAGAGAGAAGCATGGGTTTCTAATGACACCTATTGGGAACTCCGAAAGGATCCTGGCTTTAGTAAAGTAGAAACACTCGAACTCTGGTAAACTGAGAATGTAGATCTAGCAGCATATAACTCTTTTAAAATAGAAAAACAAACAAAGAAAGAAACCACTATGCACAACATGTTTCTTATAGCTGATGGTGATTTGTGGGTCTGCAGGAAACCTTCCTTTGCTTTTACATTCAATTTATAATAGACTTCCAAAAGTGCATTAGCCCAGACTTTGAACATTTCTGTGATCATAAAATTGAAAAGAAGGGAGGAAAATGCCCACAGCCCCTTTATTTATTGAGATACTGGAAGTGCAGCATAAAAGAAGCATGTACTGATTTGGCCAAAGATGCTTTGTAGAGTATCTGGTGCTTTAAATAGACACAAAGAGTTCAACAATAAAACAAATCTTGTTATAACTAAGTTCTAGAATGTCTACACATGTAGTTATTGAATCTTGATTCACATTAGAACACTTGTTCATTTCAAGAGTCAGTTTTTTTTTTTTGATGTGTTGTGCTTGGACTGGCTATATAAAAAACAACATAATGCTTTTCTAGAAGCTCTTCCCATTCATATGCCATTTTTCATGCCTTAAAAACAATGTCAAGTTGTACGTTGTTATTTTAAAATATGTATTTATTTGTCATTTCTCAAGGGCAGATTTTTAAAAACCACCGGGATTTTGGTTCGTATTTTAAATAAGGGATAAAATGTATTATTTATGGAAAATGAACTGTAATTGTAAAGTAAAAGGATGATCTAGGAATGTTTTATCTTTGCAGGTTGTGGTTCTATATAGGCAGGTTAAAAGGAAACTGACTAATTTTGTAATGATCTTGAGAAATTAATCTAAGTTCATATTCTCAATGCCTAATGCTGTGATAAATATACCCTCTCTTTTCATGACTTCTCATACTTCCTTCTTTTCATAATTCTTTTTAGAATTAAAATTCCCTAAAACTGTGCATGAATGCTAAGCACATCTTTTAAATTAGAAAAGCATCCTGCAGGGATATAATGATCCTGATAACCTATGTATTCATGCTTTCTTATGTACATTATATATTTTTGTTCTCACCTCTTTGGAAATTGTTGGGAGAAGTAATGTGATACATGCACTACTTTCTCAGTTGAATCTTGCTAATATCATTTTTATGCAAAATTATATTTTATTGCTTTTTCATAAAGCAATTATATTTTTGGATGAAAAAAATGACCTAAATGGCTATTATGTAGCACATTGTGATGTATATGTGGAAAGAGCCTGGATGATGTTGCCCTCAAAATTAAGTCTAGTTGGTTACCATGCTTTGCTAAAATCAATATATAAGGTAAAAATCTTAATGCTTTTTAATAGAAACTTGTCTATCATTTATGTCCAGTGATTTAATTTATTAATACCTTGGACACTGGCAATAGAAAAGATTTTCTTGTATATAATTCAAAAATAACATTTCTGTATATTCATGGCACATAACTGTATTTTACTGAGTGCATTTTATTGCTTTTCTGTAAAGGCACAGAGGTGGCTATGATTTCCCGAAAGCAAACTAACTGTATTTGATTATGCATTCTATGTATTACTCATCTGATTTTCCCCATGTCCATTTCTGCTCAATAAGCACACCTGTATAAGGGACAGCCTGTTTAAAAATAGGGCCTTAACTTCCTGAAGTTACTTCCAGCGGGGATGCACCATATTAGCTAGACATTTATTATCTGGCTGTGATTTTGCTCTAAATTTCAGTTGTAACTTGGGAGCGCTTGTATTTGACCAAGGCTTAAAATATGCACGGTACTCTTGTACGAGCCTCTGAAGTACAGAAGGAGAATGTTTTGTTTGCTGATATGTACATTTCATTCAAATTGAAGAAGGACTAGAATGCACAGGATAACATATGCATGGACTCTTACATGGGCCTTATACAATAGGAGTTTATCAGCATGCCACTGTCACATTGGGGATTTTGTTAACGTAGTAATCCTTACAAGGTATAGTTTAGTCCATCTTGGTAAAAATAGGAAGAAAAAATGCCTTACCATTCCGTCTTTTACATTCAGTCTTCAGTAACCTCCAGGAATTTGTTACTGTCTCTTCAAAGCCAGAATTATTAATTAAAAAGTTATAAATATTAACAAATATTATGATTTAGTAAAATGTTGAGACCAGCTGCTTACCAGGGTCAATTATAAATCAAGCTAACTTTGTCCTAACATGCTTCTCCCCAAATAACATACTAAAGGTGATTAGTTTTAAGCTTGACTAGCATGTTATTTGAAGGCAGGCCATTTGGTTAGTTTACAACATATTTATTTATTTATTATTTACTTCTATCCCACCTTTATTATTTTTACAAATAAGGCAGTGAAAATATCCCACATACGTTCCTCCTCCTATTCGTCCCCACAAGCAACCCTGTGACTGACTGACCTGAAAGTAATTGGCTGAAGGTCACCCAGCTGGCTTTATGGCTAAGGCAGGACTAGAACTTGCAGTCTCCTGCTTTCTAGCTTGGTGCCTTAACCCACCGGACCAAAATGTGTCTCTATATTGTACACACCTAGATAATCAGTCCATTTAGCTAACCACCTGTTCTATGAACCCAGCCATTAAACTATTTGGCTAAATGCAATAGCAATAGCAGTTAGACTTATATACCGCTTCATAGGGTTTTCAGCCCTCTCTAAGCGGTTTACAGAGTCAGCATATTGCCCCCAACAACAATCCGGGTCCTCATTTTACCCACCTTGGAAGAATGGAAGGCTGAGTCAACCCTGAGCCGGTGAGATTTGAACAGCTGAACTGCAGAACTGCAGTCAGCTGAAGTAGTCTACAGTGCCGCATTTAACCACTGCGCCACCTCGGCTCCTATCTATGGGACTACAGCCATTCTCCTTTGGGGCAATTGTAATTCGTCTATATGTCCAAGACATTTCCTTTCAGGTGAATGCAAAATGTGAAAAAAAGAATAAGAATTAGTAAGCAAAACACGAGACATAAGATTAGGAGCATATATGAAGATACCTACATTTACACCCATAAAATTCACTATAACTCTGTACTTTTCTATCCTTGCAAACCATTCTTGCTTCAAACACACTGATACTTCACTTCAGAGGTTGCCTTTGGTTCTAAATCTTCTAACTTATAAGTTCTTGAGGGTTTCATTAGCTCATTCAACCACTTCATTATCCACTTCATCTGAATCCATTTACTTTTTCTTCATATGTTTGTTTTATAGTTCGCTCTTCATTCGTTCTCTAGAAATCACTTCCTAGCAGTCCTAATTCATTTTGCAGATATTTAACAATTACGGTATTTGTTTCCATCCTAATTGCCCTGCATTTTCTTTCCTGCGCTTATTTAAACAGCTTCTTGCTGTCTATGACTGCATTTTTGCAACTTTTACTTTACATGTACGTTCTATATTTTCCTCGTCATGATTCTCTTGCCTGTGCATTGCTCATTCACAGACTTTTGACTTCATTCATTTTTAATACTATAGTACTTTCCTTTAGTATATGTCCACAAACTTCAGTGGCATTTGTAAAATATTTTTTCTAATTGTTTTAAGTTAGCTTACACATTCTTTTTTCCTCAAGTCTACTCTTTTTTTGGATTATTGAGATATTTATTTGTTTTCACTTTTATCTTTACATTTTGTCTACCTGTAATTATTCTAGTTTTTTTCATTTCTTTCATGTCTGTTTTTTTTCTTAAGATCTACTTGTTGCACTACTGTTAATGATTTGGCATTTAACTTCTGAACTTTATATCACTTTATATCACCTTCAATAATTCAGTTTTTCATTTTTAAAAAAATCAAGTGAACACTACTTTAATGTGTGAAGAATAAGAGCTTACCAGTTATGCTTTTTATTCATTTTCCATGTGGCCTACTCATTTTTTCTGTACTCTTTTCTTCTTTTGTTCACTGATATCTTTTAACAGTATTCTCCTCTCCCCCAGATTGAATTTTTCAGAATATTGCACATTTTATCTCAAAACTCATTCCTAATGCAATTCTCTCCAGGTTATGCATTCCTATATTCATATGAATCAACAAACTAGATAACATCAATTTCTAATTAACATTGTAGCTCTTTCCTTCATAATTAAGCATTTTCACTTCCATACATGTCTTTATCAATTCCATTCTCTAAGATCAAACTACAGTATTTTTCTCACTATAAGTTGCACCGGACCAATCCCTCTCTCCCTTCCGTAATATTTGCTCTATAAGACCTTTCAGAGACATAAAACTATTATTTTATTTGTTAATTAATGCTCTTTATCATTTGCTCTCTTTCATATGCCATAATAAACACTAATTGGGTTCATAGCAATAGCAGTTAGACTTATATATCGCTTCACAGTGCTTTACAGATCTCTCTTAAGTAGTTTACACACAGAGTCAGCATATTGCCCCCAACAATTTGGGTCCTCATTTTATTGACCTTGGAAGGATGGAAGGCTGAGTTAACCTTGAGCGAGTGAGAATCAAACTGCCAACCTGCTGATAGTCAGCAGAGGAGTGGCCTGCAGTACTGCATTCTAATCATTGTGTCCCCCATACTCACCTCTACTGCCCATGATGGATTTGGTCAAGCAAAGATTTCACACTACACTTTTAGTAAGATAGCTAAAATGTAAATTAGGTTACCAGTTTTAGATGTGAAATATTCCCTGCTAATGATGAAAGGAAGGCTAGGAAGTTTGGGCCCATTTTGACCCAGAGATACCACAAATGCAACAAAACCCAGGTTTATTCCAAGCATATTCATATTATTCTGTGCAAGACAGAACTCTAATCTAGAGACTGCCTTGTAAATCTTGCAAATTGTCTTGCAAGATTGCTTTAGCAGTTCTCTTAGTTTTCAACGCAGGACACTGAGATATAAGAGTAAATCACTTTGGGGGGAAAGAAACCTGCCCAGATCTCTAGTTTGAATTATTTTCTTAAAAATCAGGGTATTCTTGAAATCATTTCACTGTAGCATTTATTTTAAGATATGCTTTCATAAGGTTCTAAATTAAATCTGAAGCAAGTATATTATATTTAGCTATAATTGAAAGTATAGTCCTACCATAAATTCATGCTAACAGCGTTAGCATACTTGCTACACTAGTTGATTCATTCATCACACATCTGCAGACCTTACATTTTATTTCATCTAAACCTATAAAATATGAAGTTTGGGGTAATAGGTAAATTTTTCAGGAAAAAAAAACTTAAAAAGAAATACTTCCCAAAAGAAAAGAAAAAAAAACCCTGCTAGCTGGAGTTCATTTAAATCAGATAAAATATGCATTTAAAAATGAAAATTATAGAATTAAGAAGATGAATGTGAATTTCTGCAAAGGATTGAACTCATGTGATGGAAATTTTTCTTTATTAAATTTCCAGATTGAAAAATGGAGCTCTTCTCTAACCTGACCTTCTCTTTCAAACAAGCTTCAGGAAAATCTCAAGAACATCTAATTTATGTGATATGCTTCCAATTTAAAATACTCCTTATTCATTGGAAGTTTCTTCATCAAACTATGTCACAATCAAGTGCCCATTCTGACTTATCTTATACGCTTTGCTTTTTGCAAGCCTTCTTTCCTCTCAATCTCCCCTCTTGGCCATCCCAATCAGTGATTCCTCTGAAAGTATCCATGTTATAATGGCAAATTTGGGAAATTCTGTAGATTGGGAACAGATAAGAACGAGGCTTTTTAGAGTCCAGAAGCAGACCGAGAGGCCAGTTGTATAACAGGAATCGGTCCCCTCCCTATCTCTGCTATGCACTGCTGAGTCTTAGCATGCAGTCTCAGCATTGGCTGAATGTAGACTTGGGCACATTGGCTCAAAACATACTTGAATAATTATCACAGAACTATCATTATTAACTATTGTTACTTCTCTGCTTTTCTCTCTTTAGAAATAAGAGTTCCAAAATGGGAGTTCAGTAGGGGGGGAAAGTCAGGATTTGGACAGACACTTACGTGAAGTCCTTGATCAAATCAAATGAAGTTTTGCAAGCTTCCCAAGTATTTCACAGCTCATAAATAATGATTGTGGTTGCCCAAAAGAACTTTGGTTCTGGGCTAATGCTACATATAATTAGAGTGAACAATAACCACATTCTATCTACCAAGTCGACCCTATTAGATTTCAGTAAAATTTCCTCTCAGCCATCCCTGTGTTTCTGAGAATGGAATGGTGCCAATTTTGCAACCGGGAATTCTGTAATATGTAATAATTTTAATGCAATGTATTATGAGTGTTTTCCTATTTATTTCAACAGAACGTGACTTGTGTCCATGCCCAGGATTGTTAAGTTTTCATCCAAATTAACAAAAAAATTGCTCCCCTATAAAATAATATATATTGTAAAGTTCTTTTTGTGACTTACCTTATTTGTCAGGATTTTTAAAAGACAATATTGAGCTACATATATTTTTTGAAATTATATGAATTCAAATAAGAAGCAGTATTCTGAAACAATTTATCAATTGCTTTTCTTCCCTTAAAGATAAAAAGCCTAATCCAGTAGATTATCAGTCTCCCTTAAATTGTCTCAAGCTAGAACCATCCAAGCTGCATAATGTTGGTGCAAGAGAAGAATATTCTGGTCTAGCACATCTAGAGTGAAATAGGACAACCCCGCCATAGCCAACTTGTAGCCAATTTGCCGCGGGACAACTCATCACGGCCAACTCCCCACAGGACAGCTCACTGTGGGACAGTTTAGCTATTCAATTATTTGAAATA